AATTGTTGAATTTCTTCAGAAGTTGATGTTTTTGACTGTTTTGGAGCATATTTTTCAGATTTGCGTTTTAAAAATGCACGTAGTTTTACGTATTTTGATATATCAACACACTTTTTATTGATTAAGGTATTTGTTTGGAATAAGGGTACTTTACTCTTGAACGAACTTTATATTTTTTGGCCTATCCTGTATGGTGTTTATCATAAAGCCATGTCAGGTACATTTGGTATAGTTTTGGAACATGCACCAACTTTTGTCACGAATAAAATTTTCTGAGAAATCGCTAATAAAAAAGTTTCCCATTTGTTGCACACTTAGTGGACCACACTGTATAGATTGAACAAAAGTAGGTGCCCCTTATTGAAGTATTGTGTTATTATTGGGTATACGGAATCATCGAAACTGACAAACTCCACATTCATTATAGCTTGAGAGAAATCTAAGTGACGCTTTCATTGAAATAACATGCTTCTGACGGAAATCTAACATATAATGATTTTTTTCTGGTACAACATAGTATTTCAATTATGAAGGTAGACATCAATTCTTATAAGCGAATCAACATATAAAACATGTTAACGTCTTCCCAGAAGATACTTCCGCCCATGCCTTCCTCATATGTTTGTGTATTCGACGCGACTTGTGGCATTATCCAGTAATTATAAATATTTGGAAACGCATTGGCCTAGTTTTCTGACCTTCTCAAGACTTCAGAATTCACAACACTTGCCTTTTTTCTATAGAGTTATTTGAGAAGTGAAACATATAATCAACTCTCTGCTGATGCTTACAACATAACATAACATACCAATAATATACCTGGCAGATGTGAAACATGGAAATATTTTTTTTAGTAATATGCTTAAATGAACAGATTACGACAGAAACTAATATGGCATAATGTAAAAATAAAAATAACGATTTTTTTCCAGAAAATGATGATTGTTTAACGTATTCGAAAATACACTTTATCGTGAGATTTTCAATAAACGATTTTACAAAAACGCAACACGTGTTTCGCCATACAATTGCTTTTTCAGGCGTGTCTTTACTAACTATATTATATATATCAAACCCCTATTTTTGCCTCTTGGGTGTGGGTATTCCTGGTTCCCTTTCTTGATGCTTATATACGCTATACAAAGAACCTACCTGCATATTTCGAGATTGTAGGTTCAGTAGCTGTACGGTAATCTAAGAGTGTCAGTCAATCAATAGGTACCTACTTATACAATATTGAATAGCATCAGCAGAAAAAAGCTGAAGGGATTAGAATGAAATACATTGGTAATCTTACAGATCCTACTTATATTATGAATGCGTAAAGAATGTGAGGATTGATGAATGTAGTGTATGTAGTGTATTCACTTTTTCACGCCCAAACAGCTCAACGGATCCAAATGTAAGTTGGTATATAGATAGATCATAACCTGGAATAACACATAGGGTAGGTGTCCACGGTAATGCGGGTGAAACAGCGGGGAACAGCTAGTATTTTATAAGTGGGTACCTATTGATTGACTGACACCCTTATATTAACGTACTGCCGAAGCTACTGATCCTACAATCTTGAAATATGCAGGTAGGTTCTTTGTATAGTGTAAATAAGCATCAAAAAAGGAAATCAAGAATCTTCACCCTCAAGTGAGAAAAATAAAGATTCGAATAATATATTGAAACTGAAGTTTTGGGCTAATAAAAATTATGCTACCTATAAATAAATTTCGGAAAATCAATACAACTGTCAACGAAGTCTGCTCTCACGCGTCTTCCTGTGTTTGCGTCGCGTTCTCGGCGATAACGCTTCATTGCTTAGACCACCCCTCTACCCCCGCGCATCGACCGCCGTTGTCTAACAGTGGACGCGACGCATAGTGGTATCTATTTTTATAAGAATTTGACAGATATTCCAACGGTATAGGCAGCGCACGCCAAGATACCTCCCAGGAAGCAAAAATTTTTTCGACTTACTCAATACTTATCGTTATATTTTGACCAGATGTATGAACTATATTATAAGCTGTATTTATGTGAAGTTTCATCTGAATCTTCACCATTCGTTATTGAATTTTTTCTTATGAGTTCAGCCTATTATATGGTATGTTTAGGCTATAGTTTGGTTTCATTTTGAGTGGAGTACCCTGTTCCAAGACCAATTTTGAAATTTGTTAAATTATTTTGTCATTTCATGAATACACTAAGACATCTGAAATAGGCTTTCTCGTATATTTTAGAGAATATCGAGATACGAGTATCTTTATCTTTTTTTCAAGCAGTGGAATAAGCACTGCGATTGAGGAAGGTGACTTATTCCAGTGACTTCAAAGAGCAAACCAATTCTAAGGTATCCTCTACACTACTTGCGAAGTTAATCTAGAATAGTACTTAGTTCAATTGTGCTGTGCATGATTATGTATAAACACACACTTCA